CTCGTTTAGGAATTTCTGACCATAACGCTGCCAGGAACTTTTTATGCCACAATTAAGCACCTGCTACAGCAAATAAAGCCAAATCATGCGGCTGGCAACCGGGCTGCACGCTTCCTTTCCCCCCCCCCTCCCCCCGTGACCCGCTCGAAAGGAGAAGAAAAGCAAAAGGCTGCAGCTCCACAGATCCCATTACCAGGGACAAACCCACAGCCCCCCAAAAATCCCCCAAAGGGGACCCCCCTCCCCCCTCTTTCCCCCCAGATAAGAGATCCCATCTTCTTCTGCTATGGAGAAAGAGATCCCTGAGCTGCAAGTTAGGTGAGCGGGGGGTGAAGGTGAGCACTGGGGTTTGGGTGCTGATGATGTGACATCAGTGCCAACCCCGTGGGTGACCCCAACACCCTAACCCTATGTGTGACCCCCAACCCTATGCAAAAGGAGCAGGACCCTGAGCAGAGCGCTGTTCCGTGCAGAAAAAAGGGGACGAGGAGGAGGAGGAAGAGGAGGAAGAGGGGGGGATGCGGGGGGAGGATGGAGGGCATCACATGATGCGGATGTACGGGGTCAGAGCGCGGGGCCGGGCGCTTTCGCAGCAGCCGCGCAGCTGTGATGATGACTCTTGAGTTTTTCCGCTCTGGGTTTATAGGGATTGGGGTGAGGAGGGGGTGGCGATGGGGGGATTTGAGGACGTGAAGGCGTCGTTGCAATGTTTTAGGGGGGGAGATGGGGGTGCAACCCCCCCCGGCTCTGCTCCCCCCCGCTGCTGGGAAGGGGTCACCTCTGTGCCCCTCGTAGTGTGTGGTTACCCCCCAGTTCTGTCCCTGCTGTGCAGTAACGGGGGGCAAGGTGGGGTCCCACGGAGGGGGGTTATGGGCACGATGGGGCGCTATGGAGGGGCTATTGGTGGGGGGGGTCCCATAGAAGGAGGTTTAGGGGTAGGATGGGGTCGCATGGAGGGTTCGGGGTCAGACGGGACCCCATAGAGTGTGGGTGTCAGACCCCTGTGAAGGGGTGAGGGTACGATAGCGCCACGGAGAGGATTT